TGTTGTTCTCAAGAACCCCAAGTTTGTCGACCCCGCGGAGCGCGCGGGCTATGATGCCTTCCGTGGCTTCCGCAGTGACCATATCCACCTTTCTGTCTCGGTCATTGCACCTCAGAGCAGAGACTGGTCTGTTGAAGATGTGCAATCATCTTCAAGTTACAACACGACTCACTTGTCTCCTCGCTTCTTCACTCATTTCTTCAACTGGTGGTCCCTCTTCTCCGGTGTGATGTCTCTGCCCGTTCGCCAAGGTCCACTGTTCCCAGGCATCACCAAGACGAGCAAGAAATTCAACCGGCATTTGGCAACAGTCAAGTACAAGATCCTTCTTGCACCATTGTTTGTGGCGCATATCTACAAGCACAAGGACCGCGAAGACTATGCCGAAAATGTCGTGACCGCAACGGGTCTCAAGGTCCGCCTTGATTCTTTGAAGTTGGATATCCATCAGCGACGCGAGCAGATAAAGACTCAGGCTAGAGGTCGCTCCAAGCAGACAAAGACAAGTGCAATGCGCATTAACCAAGCTCTGATTGATTTGCAATCGGCAGACTTCCGAGCGGTTTCTGCTAGTATCGAAGGCACGACTGCCGAAGACCTTGAGCAAAACCGAGACGATATCATCTCATCCTTCCAGCAGCCAGTGCCTTCTGTCGATCTCTCCAAATTCACGATCCCCGACCACAATCTTGATTGGATCGACATGGATGACTTTGTCGAGCCTGACTGGATTCTTCCCCAAGAGTCAAATCCTCGGACACAAATCTTGCCGCTTGCATTCACCCCACGGTTCACCTACTTCCGGCAGACGGACCATGAAGACCGTGGACCCGAGGAGACTGGTTACAGTACTTTCGGGCACGAGCCGACACATGACTGTGTCATGTCTGAGACCAATGATCCTCGACGTGTGCAGATCGAATTGACGAAGGATCGCCTTGCCACTGTCGAAGCCCAGATTCGCAATTACGAGCGCACTATTGGCGAACAGGAGCTCAAATTGATGAAGGATGTGGACAATGATCCTAGCCTGAACGCTCAACATGAGGTTTACCTCCGCCAGGCCGAGTCCCTTGCTAGACGCCGAAGGTTCTTGACTTCCACCCTGGACCGGCTTGAAAGACACTTGGCTCGCGACGAACGAACTCCAAATCGAAGTAAGTCAGGTCTTGGTGCGGCTGCCAGCGAAACGTCATCCAGGGTCGGTCTAGACGGGGATTCCACTACTGATGGCCGAGCATCCGGCCTTGACGGGCTTTACACGTCGGGTGCCGATGACTTCTCCAGCGACTTCAACAACCGTTTCATGATTCACAACGTGCAGTTGAAGTGGAATAACTCACTGCGCAACATTATTCTGCGCTACAGTCATCAAGTGAGTCAGCGACGGGGCTTCGTTTACTACATGTCCCGACGGGCAGTCAAATTCATTTTGGACATTGTCGAAGAGCAAAACAAGAACAAACGGAAAGAGCCTAAGATGTCCAAATCCCAACCCCTCAGCGATAATGATGAGGAGGATGTGGAAGACCGGATAGAGCAGCTCCTGAACGATGCCAAGCGCTATGTCAACGTTGAAGAGACCGAACCATCCGAGACAAAGAGTCACTTGCCTCCAACCTCCGATGACTCGAGCGAAAACATCGCGCCGGAGTTTACGCCGCAGAACAGCTACTACTTGCGACTGATCGCTCCTCAGATTCAGTTCATGAGTGAGAAAAACCGCAAGTCCGTCCTCATGGTGGCTGCAAAGGGCATGGAACTCAAGGTTGTATCAATTATGGACAAAGAACGTGTTTCCGACGATGTCAGCGGCTTGGTCCAGCGTCGCTTCTCCCTCGAGATGGACGGTGCCCAATTCTTCGTTGCAACGCAAAAGAACCTCATGGCGAACCTACAGTTCTATGCCGGCAACAAGTATGGCAATGCGCCAGGATCCGCGTGGCCACCTTGGTTGACTCTGGAGGCGATGTTTGACTTCGAACTCAATCCATTTGGATTCTCTCGCATCGTACAAAAGACCTCCGCCAGCCTCCGCTATGACAAATACAACAACCTTCGGTTGAAGTATAACGAAGAGGTGGCCAAAGGTCATCCGGGTCCGCACCCTGGAGGTGACGAAACCAGGATGGACCAGATCAGTGTTGACTTCCCTCACTTCCGTGCAATCTGCGACTCTGCAGAGTACTATTCATTGTACATCATTGTACTGGATCTCTTGCTTTACAGCGAGCCACTTGAGAAAGTTCGCAACGAGCGTTTGGAAAAGATCATGCTCACATCCGACTTCAGTGACCTCCGCGGTGCTCCCGAGGCGGTCTTCAAATTGCAGTCCCGCATCCGACAACTGGAGGAAATCAAAGAATACTTCCAAATCAATGCCAAATATCTTGACAAGCAGGGCTGGGAGGATCGCTTGGCACTTGAACGCGACCTGTCCCAATGTGAGGACGAGTTGTTCTTCATGATGAAAGCGATTACCACTTCCCAGAGGCGGGCCGAGCCCAGCTCGTCCAAGACGGACGGTGTTTTGCGCTGGAGCATCTCTGCTACTGAAGTTGTCTGGCATTTGATGAAGGAGGCATCTGCTCCCCTCGTCGAATTCCAACTCAGAAATGCTCAATATGAGCGCACTGACAATACCGATGGCTCCAACCACAACCTCGTGGCTGTCGAGCAGCTCAGCGGGCTTAATTTGCTGCCGGATGCGATATATCCTCAGATCATTGCGCCGTATTTGGACCAACCACGGCCTTTGGACGATTTCATGTTGCGTGTTAAATGGCATCTGATGGAAGCGGTGGCGGGTATTCCTGTGGTTGACAACTTCGAAGTATCCTTGTTCCCTCTCAAGATCCAGTTGGAACGCGAGCTTGGCCAAAAACTCTTCGAGTACATCTTCCCCAACATGGGCTCCGGTGCATTTGAGAATGGCGGCTTCTCGCCGTTCATGATCAAGAATATGAAACCACTTGATGCTTCCGACGAGGAAGACGAAGAGGACGAGGAGGACACGAACAACCGAAGCCTGACTCCGTCGATGAACACCGACGACGACAACGGGACCATGGACGATTTGTCCAAGGGGCCCGGCTCCATTGAATTGAGACTCCAGCCAACCTTGACTCTCTCTGAAGAGGGCAGATCCAGTCGTCGGTCTACCCATCTCAAGGGCCTTGCAATGACGCCCATAGCTAGAAGCAACACTGCCCGTCTAGGTGTGCCGGACCCTAGTAAGGGACTGCCCCGTCCCGCAACCACGGGTAGCCTTGCTGGCAGCCTTACGAAGAAACGCTCAGTGGACAGCATGCGCATGTTGGTGAGGGCGCCCACCGAGAGATCCTTGTCAAGCCACAGCACGAGCACCGAGGAAAAGAAGAAGTTCGGTCTCGGCAAGGGTTCTCGCGGTAAACCCAAGGAACCTACCGATGATCTCTCGCAAATGATGTCCCGAGCCTCGAATTACATGACTTTGGCTCGGGTCAAGGTTCACGATGTGGTTCTCTGCATGAGCTACAAGGGCAAAGGAGAGCACAACATTGAAGATCTTCACGACTTTGTCTTCCGGCTTCCAGTACTGGAGTATAGCAACAAGACCTGGTCCAATTTGGATCTGGCTCTGCGTTTGAAGAAGGATGTCATCAAGGCTCTCATTTCGCATGCCCCTGCCATTCTCGGAAACAAGTTCTCACATCATCGGCCCTCCAAGCAGCAGCAAAAGCGCTACCGCGAGCTTGCTTCCTCGTCACAACTCTTACCCAACTCGAACAACAGCCTTTCGGCCTTTGATCGAAGCCAAGCCCCCAGTCTGACGAGCTTTGACTCGAATAGTGAATATCATTCCGAGTCGCCGTCCAGGAAGTCTATGCAATCAAATGCTTCGCCGTTGGCTCGTTCTCTGTCTCTGAACTCGGATGCTCATGAGCACCACGATACCACCATTGGTGACTCCAAGTCTGCCAATGAAGTCGATGTGGATTCTCGATGGGAGGTGCGTATAGTCTTTCCACTCACCATCTAAGTCATACATGCTTATGCTAAAATAATTTGCAGGAGTCACGCCGATTTGTCAATGCACCCATCAGACCCATGACCTCTGGTCACACCGTTACTACTGTCGTTGCGGCCAGTGGCAATGGCCAGGGTGCGGAACAAGAGGATAGGTAATGACGATCTATCTTAGTCTTGTGGAAAACATAAACTGACATTACCATCGCAGTCACAAGAGAACCATCCGTAATCTCGGCCGGAAACTGATGAGCCGGAAGTGATCGCCCCCTGTTACACACTACCTTCATATACTGCCTCTTTCACTCCCCATCACCCTTTTACCCTCAATCGCCCACTCTCCTCCCTGCGGCCTTCAACACCCAGTCCACGCGCCTTATCTACCACCCACCCCGTGTAAAGCACTTTCCCCAAAAACACCCTCCGTGTCTTTCCTCCTGGCCTCCTGTCTTAATCTTAGATACCCTCTATGTACAGCGGGCCGTGTATAGGCGTTCGATTCGTGTCTGTTTCTCATTTTTGGGAGCCCCCGTGGAAGGAGAAGAAAATTGGGGCTTGTTTTTTTTTTTCGCTTCCTTGGATTTATTCTTACTATTCCTGGGTTTTTTTTCGGTTGAGCATGCATGCATAGAAGGGGAGTGGCGCCTTTTGTTTTTACTCTTCCTTTCGTCTCCCATACTTCCAATACCTACTTTTTCTGGGCGCTTCTCTTTATAACCCTTCTTTACATACATAGACTTATCGTTCTTTTTCGACTCCTTGTACCTCGAGGCATGCCGAATTCTGATCCATGGTTTCGGCGCGAGAACAAGTCTCCGATGACCCACCGATCGGACGCGGCAAACAGTTATGGTGCCGAATCACTTGGCCGAGCCCGATCCTTGATTCTTCATACTTCTTGTACTTCTTCTACATTTATAGTTCCTGTGACACAGATATCTCGGGAGAAATACCCCTAATCCAACTGATACCTTCCAAAACGCTCAATTATCATGGTGCTAAACTATGCGACAATCCCGCTTCAAGTCCAGGGAGTCAACCTCAACCTATCGACAATCCACAGCCTCAATTCCTCGCCACCAATTCTATTCCTCCATGGGTTCGGTTCATGCAAAGAAGACCTGGCAGATATAGTCATTCATCCTAGTCTACAAAAGTATGGTTTCCTCGCCTTTGACGCTCCAGGATGTGGCCACACAACCAGCGACAATCTCTCCGCCACCGATATCCCTTTCTTAGTCGCCACAGCGGAGGCCGTTCTGAATCATTTCCAAATCACCAAATTCCACCTCATGGGACATTCAATGGGTGGACTCACTGCCCTCATGCTCGCACATCAGAACCACGATAGGGTCCTCAGCTTCGTGGACATTAAGGGCAATCTTGCACCGGAAGATTGCTTTCTCAGTCGGCAAATCTTCACCTTTCCTTCGAATGACGCGGAGGCATTCCTTGACCAGTTTATCGATCGGACTCGGAAGGCGAACTCTTATGCCAGTCCACTGTATGCGAGTACCCTGCGTGCCCGAGTACGGGCTGGTGCCATAAGGCCAATTTTCGAGTCTATGGTGCACCTATCTGATCATGGCGATTTGATGGAGAAGTTCTTGGGGCTTCCGTGTCCGAAGATGTTTATGTTTGGTGAGGAGAATCGGGGACTGTCGTATTTGGGTCGTTTGGAGGAGCAAGGTGTTGAATTGGCGATGATAGAGGAAAGTGGGCATTTCCCCATGTATTCTAACCCGGTGGAGATGTATCGTCGGATTTCCGATTTCTTAGCTAGACTTTCATAGATTAGAACAATAAACTTCACGAAATCAATATAAAAAAAGAGCAATTGAGGGGGTTCTTTCGGTCCTTGGAAAAAGCTCACTACACAGCCGCCTGATACAATATCTTCCCTCGGTCACCTTTGTCAAATTCCTTGGCCATATAGTAAGGGGGTCTGAGGAGTCCATTAAAGGAAGAAATTAGTCCAATTTGCATGAATACCTTTCTATAAGTACACTGTAAGACAAATTTGATTATCGTACACGTCCCTCGCTTAACATTGATCATTGCTGTTCACGTCATGCCTGGGGAGCAAGAGTTCCCATCCAACTTTTATCCTCCTGCAACTTCTTCTCTCCCTTCGGGACTCGTCGTCCAGTCTGCGGCACAAGATGCTGCGTCAGAGCCTTCGCGTCCTGGATACGGCGCAACGTTTCTTCCCGTCCCAGAATAGTCATGATTTCCGGGATTCCAGGGCCAGGAGCGGAAGCTGACAACGCCCAGCGGAGGTAATGATATAGCTCTTTCTTAAAGATTTTGTCGGGATTGGCTGCATCTGCAGTCTCGGATGGGATTGTGACGGTATCTGAGCCGTCGTATGAGGTAATGTTTGTGCGGTGGGTTTCGATGGTCCAGTGGGCTGGCGGTACCAGAGTCAGAGCTGCGGCAGCCGTGTGGAGTGCTTGCATCGGAATCATAGGGGCCTCTGTCGAGGCGGAGGAGGCCGCTGATATGTATGAAGGTCGGTCAAGTTGTGTAGTGAAAAAAGTAGAGTTACGTTTGGTGAATTCCTCCGCGGTCGTATAGGTTTTGGCGTCTGCGTGAAGGAGAGGTGCGATGTACTCGAACAGGCTGCGGCCCTGAAGGATAGGGATGCTAGGGCTTCAGTCAGACTAAGGGCATTGACCATGATTTCAGGGGATGGACTCACAGCTTGTCCATGGAGTGGCTCTCTTCAACGGCTGCACACACTCTTTTCACCATTTCGTCAAACTGAGGACCGCCGGTTGCAGCGAATCGCTGGGCATGTGCCTTCTGAAGGAACCAGAGTTTCTCAAACGCAACGACAGTATTGCCACGGGTAATTTTGAGATTGAACTGAAGAGTTCGTGTTAGCAGTTATCCATCCCGTCAGCTACCTCCAAGAACGTACAATTTGCTCGAGCTCCTCCAAGCTGAAAATATCAGTTTTCTGAGAATGAGACCAGCCCAAAAGTGCAGCAAAGTTGACCAAGGTAGCAGCGAAGATTCCCTGCTGGTCCTTGAATGAGGAGAGATCAATGTCTGCATTCCGCTTGCTGAGCTTCTGCCCGCTCTTATCAACAAGCAGAGGAACATGACCGAATTGCGGAGGTGCCCAATTGAAAGCATTATACAAGGCCATATGCATTGGAGTTGAGGCCATCCACTCCTGTGAGGTATTAGTAAACACCGCTTAGCTATTGGAGGAGTATACAAAACTCTTACCGTTCCCCGGATGACGTGTGTAATCTTCATACAATGATCGTCCACCACATTCGCCAGGTGATATGTCGGATGTCCATCAGACTTCAACAGAATAGGATCATCATAGACTCGATCAATAAGATCCAACTTGCTACTGTTGGTCTTGTTTTGTCCCGTCTTGCCGTAAACCAGGTCTTTGAACATGGGATATCCTTCCACCTTCAACCGCACCACATGTGACTCGCCCTTGGATGCTCTGTCTTCGGACTCTTCGGCAGAAATATCGGCGCATTTCCTATCATAACCAGAAGGAAGCCCTGCCTGGCTGCGGTGACGCGCAAACGAATCGAGGCGCTCTGAAGAGCAGAAGCACCGGTAGGCATGGCCATTGGAGATGAGCTCGTCGGCATGGGTTCGATAGAGGACTGTCCGCTCCGACTATGAGGGCTTTTCATTAGCCATTTTCTGATCTGAAAAGAACTTAGAGAGTAAAGACCTACTTGTCTGTATGGTCCGTATGGTCCACCAACGACAGGGCCTGTAGACGCCTTTTTAGCCTATGCCCAGCCGTAGCCATAGCAAATCTTCATCCCCATGGGCATACCTTCATCCCAATGTAATCCCGCCCACCGTAGGTCATCATACAGTCGCTGCTCTGCTCCCGGAATCGTACGTTTCTGTGCACATCAGCAGTTATTTCCCAGACCATACAACACCGATGAACGGACCTGATCAGTATCTTCAATGCGCAACAGGAACTGGCCTCCAGTTCTCTTGGCGAGTAGATAGTTAAAGAGCGCAGTCCGTAGCGATCCTAAATGGAGATAACCGGTCGGGGAAGGCGCAAAGCGCGTTCGCGCCGGGGCGTCGGGGAGATTGCTCTTCGGTTTGCGAGCATTTGCGCCCGCAGAGGAAGACGAGGCTCTGCATTGGGTGCATGTCCATGATCGCCGGGCAATAAGCCCGCTGCGTAGGCTCCTCATGAGGGTTCAATTTGAACAGACAAAGGTGCCTGGGGAGCGTTTGCTCGGGCCGGCGGTTTTTTGCGGAGGTTCGGTAGCTCCGCGCGACTGCCCGACAAAATTTCGGTTGGCAACTCCGCTGAAATCAACATTTCAACTTTATCCCCTCGCTTGCCGTTTACTTCGCGTCTGGCCTGGGTTCTAGTGTCACAACTAGCGGCCCGTATACTTGCTATAATTTCAATCCCTTCTCTCGCTTCACTCGTTGGAATACGCTACGAGTACGTTTCCCTATCGCCTCTGGTGGGCTGTGTGTTGGTTGAACCGCTAACTGACAAAAATCTCCAGTGGCTGAGATCGAAGTTGACCTCTATGGTGTGTGCTGCTAACTCTCATTATTTCTCTGGGAGTCCACAAGAGAGACCAGGTCTAACTTCTTATACAGAGGTCCTCGAGGTCCACCGAGGCGCGAGCGCCGACGAGATTCGCAAGGCTTACCGGAAGGTACATTGGGCGTCGCTTCCACTCTTTAAACTCGAAAACTAACGAGAAGTTTTGACAGGCTGCTCTCGTCAACCATCCCGACAAAGTCCCCGAAGACGAGCGCCCCGCGGCCGAAGCCAAGTTCATTAATGTCCAGAAGGCTTACGAGATTCTTTCCGACGATGATAAACGCCACATCTACGACACACATGGCATGTCCGCCTTCAACGGAGCCGGCGAGCCTGGCATGGGTGGTGGTATGGGAGGTATGCCTGCGGGTTTCGAGGAGATGTTTGCCGAGATGTTCAGCGGAGGTATGGGCGGTATGCCAGGCATGGGCGGCATGGGTGGTATGGGCGGTATGCCTGGAGGTGGCCGACCCCGGAGAAGCCCAGACGAGGAGCAGGACTATGAAGTCAGTCTGGAGGAGCTATACAAGGGCAAGACCGTGAAGTTTGCCAGCACCAAGAACGTCATTTGCAGCCTGTGCAAGGGCAAGGGTGGAAAGGAGAAGGCCACGGCTAAGAAATGCTCTACTTGCGACGGCCACGGTCTTCAGGAGGTGATTACCCAGATGGGACAGTTCTTGACCAAGCAGACGCGGCCATGCTCCGTCTGCAATGGCCAGGGTTCTTTCTTCAGCCCCAAGGACAAGTGCAAGAAGTGCAAGGGAAAGCGGACAATCGAGGAAAAGAAGATGCTGGAGATCTACATTGCTCCTGGTTCTCGGTAAGTTATGTCGATTCATTTGAATTTTGGAAACGGTTGCTTACAATCCGTTTAGCGAGGGAGAAAAGATTGTCCTGGAAGGCGAGGCAGACCAAATTCCAGACCGGGAAAACGGCGACATCATTTTCAAGTTGGTCCAGGAGGAGCACGAGGTCTTCGACCGAGCTGGCTCCGATCTGCGGGCGGCTATCGACATCACTCTGGCCGAGGCTTTGACTGGATTCTCGCGCGTCGTGCTGAAGCATCTCGATGGACGTGGTATTGAGATCACTCACCCTGCCGGCAAGGTTCTGTCCACCGGACAAGTCCTCAAGGTCCCCGGTGAGGGTATGCCGATCAAGCGCAGCGACTCTCGGGGTGATCTCTACTTGGCTGTGAACGTCAAGTTCCCCGATGAGTCCTGGAACCCCACTCCTGAGATGCTGGCCAAGCTCCAGGAGCTGCTTCCCAAGCCCGGCCCTGCTATCGAGGCCACTACCGTTGATGAGGTTGAGTACGACCCCAACGGCAACATGGACGAGTTCGGTGCTCGGGACGCCCAAGGCGGTTCAGCCTGGGTGGATGATGATGACGAGGAGCCAGCGCAGTGCGCGGCCCAGTAAATGAGTGCAGAAGACACTAGAATTCATGCTTTGCTGGCATAGAATGGCGTCTGGGGTTTTTGCATTTTCCTCGTGGCTTTTTGACCTTCTTATGAGACTCGGACATCTCCCTTCTACGATCATGATAGTACAGTAGACTCAATGCGTTAGAATTGAACACCATCATTCTTTATGAAGTTATGCGTCTCTCTACAAGAGCATCTTGTTGTCATTTATTGGGGTACCTGGAGATACGGATCCCTTTGTGGCCGTATTCAGCATGCACTCACCAGCACGTCTACGGCGTCAAGATATCAATTCACATTCTTATTTGCCTATAATTTGAGCAAGTCAATAACCATAATGGATGGGGACTCATAAAGAGAGTAATGTCCTACCAGCAGTTGAGGGATATGACACGGTCATGTGACCTAACCGTTATTCAGCCTCCAGTTGGAGCGGAAGTCGGAGCAATGGACGTATTTCCATCGACAGATAGCCTCTGCACAAGCCTGGTTGTGTCCAAGAGGCTACTCTTATGCTGCATGCTGGGCAGATCAGTATTGCCGCGCATCCGGCGCTATAAGCGTGGCAATCTGAGGACTAAGGAATACACCCGCCTGCATCATCCACTGGAAGTTTCCCATCTCTACATCCATAACAGTACTTGGAAAAGGCCAAGTCTCGGCCAAAATGGAAGTTATATTCGGCTAAGATCGAACCGTCAGCTGCGCACCTTGTTCATTGAATCATTTCCACCTTATCTTTATCCGCCGGCCATCTTCATCGGGCTTCTGCTCGGGCTGTGGACATGGAAATGCTTTTGGATTATTGTGATGCAGAACAAGCTCCTATATCTATCATGGCTGCCACCTTTCTCACGATCTGATAGGATTTCTGAATATGAGGCTGAATGCAAGCCTGTACAATGGCATGAAAAGCAAATCCGAAGCCTGGATGGTACCAAATTGGCTGTCTGTGAAGGGTACATACCCAGTAAGGATGACCAAAAGCCAGTCACTGCTGGGAAGAAAGCAAGATCAGTCGTAATTTGCTACTTCCAAGGCAATGGAGGCTCGACCCCTCTTCGATTGCCACTTCTTTCACAAGTTCTAAGGACTGTCTCGACAATATCAAAGACGACGTCGTCATCCCACGATACCAAGTTCATCATCGTCGCCCTGTCATACCGTGGCTACTGGACATCTTCAGGCCGCGCAACACAACCAGGGATTGAACTGGATGCCCAGGCATTCCTAAACTGGGTATCTGAAACATATTCATCTCCCGAGACTGATCTACAACTCATTCTGTGGGGACACAGCCTCGGCTCATCCGTCGCAAGCTCCGCGCTATCTACATATCTCTCCCAGCGCGAGAAAAGAAAATCCAACAACGATACAAGGCTTGCACCGGTATCGGGGTTGGTCATGGAAGCACCAACTTCGAATATCAAGGACATGCTTATCAGCTTATACCCCCAGCGATGGCTTCCGTACCGATATCTATGGCCATTTTCGTGGAATACTTGGTGCAATGCAACAAATTTGAGGCAACTGGCTGAGTGGAGAGATGGCAACCCACAAAATGCCGACCCGGTCCCGCCTATATTCATCCTGGCTGCCGAAAATGACGAAGTGATACCACCATATGTGGCCGGCCAGTTAGAGAAGAGAGGTCGAGACCTCGGGCTCGACATCTCAAGGAAAGAGGTCAAAGGTGCGATGCATACGGAGGGACCACTGAAACCAGATGGCCGAGAAGCACTTGTTGGGTTCGTTCTCGAGACGACTTCGAAGGAATGACCGAGCACCACACAAAAGGCAGGTCACCGGCGCCCCGTTCGGAGCTCAGTAGGTTCACAACACCACAAACCACGAGTTTTTGCACTTTAGGAATGCTAGAATAATTCAAGGAACAACTTTTGAATCAGAAAATAATATTATCAGGAAGAACTACGTTAAAAAAAACCTGACTGTACCGCGCTATAAATTAACAGATGAAAAATCGAGTCGAGGAAGATCAAGCACGACATAAGAGAAGAAGTTTGACTCCAGAGACCTAGGAGGCCAGAACAGGGGAATAGGACAAGCCGTAAGCACCAAACCGCAAAGAAACCACAAGACACAAAAAGGAAGAGTATCGAGAACAAATAACACCATGCCGACCCATAAGGATTATCCAAAAAGGCAAGATTAAACAAACGCGTCCGCCGATTATGTGAGAGAGAAGCAGATCTGTCCGCAGAGAACGAACCGGACAGGAACCACCATCGGAACGCACGACCAGGAGACGTGGCCAGCAGCGTCGGCGGACGTGATAAGCATCGACAGAAGAAAGGGAGCATAAACAAGATTGACATGATAGAACTCGTAATTTTGAACACAGAAAGGCAAGAAGGTAAAGTTCCAAATCGGCGAGGAAGAGATCGGTCGTCAGTTTGCGTGCGGAATAAACACCAGCCCCGATGGAATGTTGAGAAAGCTCAATCATGAAAGAAGGGATCGTCAACATGAGCCGTACAGACAAAGTCCAGTCATGGGATCGTCAGGAAGCCAAGCGATTTCGTAACCACAGTTCATATGCCCGAGGCGCCAGGAAAGACAAGTGACAAGAAAAAAGAAGGTTACAAGGAATCGAAGCATGCGGTAAGCGGGCGAATGCTTCGGAAAGGAGGCGCGAGAAACCGATGTCGATTTCTTGTTCGTGGGAGAACACATCTCATCAGTAAGTCTCGTAGTCATCGGTCCATTCAGTGTCGCTACCAGCGACACGGATCATCTGGCCGGGGTGTGGCCCGTCAGGACTAACGCTCCGGATCCCTTTGGACTTCTTCCCTGTCAAGTCAACCGCATCCTCAGGGGCAAACCGCTTGCCTTGTGCAGCCCGGAGCTTGGAGTAGTAGACGTCGCTAGCATCCATCTCGGATTCGGAAGCATCGTCGAAGGTCTCCCAATTCTCAGAGCCAGAAGTAACAGTGTTGACTGTGGATGAGTTGGAGGTCTGTCGGAGAGCAGGTGGGGGAGGGGCTTGTGACAGGTAGGGGTTGACGCGGGGGTAACTCTGTAGCGAAGAGTTCAGAGATGAATGAGACGAGTGCGAGGAGTGGGAGAAACCGGTAGACCGGTGGTTGGACATGACCGAGGCGCTCATGAAAGATCGCTGGCGGTCGTCATAGACGTCCTCGGGGCTCACAGGGCGAACGAAAGCGGTCGACATTGCGCTATTGCAGCGCGGGAGCTCCATAGCGTAGCTGCCGCGCTCCTTGGACTCGACGGTCAATGCACGCATTCTGGGTGGAGGCCCACGAGGAGGTGGCATCTTGCCGTTGATTGTGCTGGACGAGTACGAGCCAGGGCCAGTGCGTCGTTCGGGAGAGTTGCTCCCATATGGCACGTTGCTCAAGGGAGCTCGGGCAGGAAGCTTGGAAGGAGACCTAGCACCAGCGCGACTAGCTCCGGAGTATCCGATAGTGTTGTGCTTCACAGGTCCAGTGCTTGTCGGGGTCTTGGTAGCAGACCGAGGTGGAGGTGGTCCACGCATAGAGCTGCCAGGGCGAGAAATCGGATCACGCTTGGGGGCGCTGGCAAGAGACTTGGTGGTGGAAGGAGGCGCAGAAGGAGTCTTGGAGCGAGGAGGCGGCTTGGTGAATGCGGGAGTCAAGCTATCGAGATAACGGTCACCATGGACCAAGAAGGGTCGACCAAACTCATCCTCCCAATGCTCGAGCTCTTTGCGCAGCTCAGCTTCGACCTTGGGCAGCTCCTTCGCAATCCTTTTGCGCATCTTCTCTTCACGGAGAAGCTTGCCAGGATCACGCTTCTCACCCTTGTTTGTTCCACGGCCCATAAGACGGGAAGCATCTTGGCTGGAAGCGGAGAGAGCCTGCCGGTCAGCCAGAAGGCTGCGATGCTTCTCAATCAACTCAAGGGTTGGGGCACGTTGCTCCTTGAGTGTCTCCAGACGGGAGATCTCAGCCTCGTGGGCCTCGAGCAATGCATCACTGCACACATCAGAGAAGGCGGGAGTGAAGTCGAGCATCTCCTCCTCCGAGAAGAAGAGGCTGTCCCAAAGCTCCTGCAGGCGGCAGCGAGCATCTTCGACAAACAAGTGCATATTCTGCCTCTTCAATTCATTGAGACGAGCCAGCTCTTCCTCAAATTCGTTGATAGTGCGGAGACCACAGCCACGGTTGGCAGAAAGGAACGCCTTGCGATCCGCTTCTTCAACCCCGAATCGCTCCCAAAGGCTCTCGACATTAGCCCGAAGCTCCTTGATCTTGCGTTCGCGTCCCTTCTTCTCATCCACCAACTTGTCGCGCTTAGCCATCAAGCTGGCCAAGTCGGCCTCGTGGAGTCCAAGTTGCTCCGGAGACTCGCGATAGTATTTGACAATATTTGAATCGGTTTGCACCTGAGGAGTGCCAAGCTCAGCCCAGAGCTTGATGATCTCCTCGGAGGTCGTCTGGACGAAGGAAATGCGGCGGTGGTACTCTTCGTAGACGCGGGAGAATTCAGAGTCCAGGGAAGTCACGTATGCGGGCGACAGATCGAAGCTGGGCGGAATCACTGAGCCAGGGGCGGTGGGAGGAAGTTCAATTGTAAGGAATGAAGCCTCAAGGTGAGACGAATAGGACTCCAATGCATCGACCAGTTCTGCTCAAGGTCAGCATGCTTGGAATATAGATAACCGGCGCATGTTATTCGACTTACTCTTAACCTGTTCGAAGCGCTCGCGGTGCAGCTTGGTCATCCCCTCGTTCTTCTCGCGCAAGAATGCGATGCATCGATTGAGAGGGTACGTGATGCGCAGATCATCGCGGTTGAGCTCGTACTGGCCACTGGCTCGCTCATCGCCCAGAGATGCCTCCATTTGTTGAATGGTCATTATGAGGCGCTGGGCTTCTTGTGTCATCTTCTCTTTTTCTCTGTGTAACATGTGATATTAGCGCCAGTCGCGACAATCGAGGTTTGTTACACAGGCGCAAACTCACTCATCAACAAGCTTGAGATGGTTGTTTAGTGTTTCTGACAGAGCATTGAACAGCTATTATCGCATTTAGTATTCGAGCAAGCAAACAATGGCAGGCAGATGTCCAGCTTACCTCTGCTTCGCGGGAGTCGCGCTCATGTGTAGGGACACCAATTTCATCAAAGATGCCATGTAGCTGCTCAACAATGTTATTGACCTGAGTGGTCAGGTAGCTCGTGTCAACCGCCATGACTGGTAGTGACTGAGCTTGACGACGGCGATATTGAAAGTGTCAGTCAAGGAATGCGATTCACTCCAACGATAAGGTTGTCGACACTGCGACAGCGACGTCGAAGGGATCAAAACAGGCAGCCCAAGGCGCGGAAGATCCGACACACGCCGCGAAACAACAAATGAACGAAGGTGGGTGGTGAGACTCGTCAGTTGAGAGACATGGAGAATCGAGTTGGGAAGACCTTGGGGGTGTTTATGAGGGGGAAGAGGAGAAAGGCAGGGCTGGATCGCAAACAGGTTCAATCTCCCGCGCCCTAGTTGTTTGGGGCCGATCGTATCCAGGGGCAACGGCTGACTCAGCTGGTTTACCGCCCCAGTTCTGCCCACATCAGCCCCACCGCTTCTCTCCACGCTTCATCACTGCGTCGTCAAGCTGTCGATGATTCCCCTCCAAAATAACCTTATCGATGCTTCGACGATCTTGCTCCCAAATACTTCTTATCTCACTACCCTTCCCCACATACCCAATCTCTGATACACACCATCATACCTCCTAAAAATGCAGGCTGCACAGCAGTCCTGGGGTGAGCTTCCATCTCCCTCCTCAATGAACCGTGACAAGTATAACTTGCAGACTAACCACGAACTGCATTTCAGAGCTCGAAAATTCCATCAGCGTATTCGACCCCCAACGTGATGCCCTCTACCAGTACGATGAAGCCACACAAAAGGCCCTCAACGCCGAACGGCCCTGGGCCTCGGACCCGTACTACTTCAAATCAGTTCGAATCTCCGCAACAGCACTGTTGAAAATGGTGATGCACGCCCGATCCGGTGGATCCCTAGAAATCATGGGCCTTATGCAAGGCTACATCTTGCCAAACACTTTCGTCGTGACGGACGCATTCCGACTACCCGTTGAAGGAACCGAGACTCGAGTGAACGCTCAGGACGACGCAAACGAGTACATGGTGTCGTATCTGCAGTCGTGCCGGGATGCGGGCCGGATGGAAAACGCTGTGGGCTGGTACCACAGTCACCCGGGGTACGGCTGCTGGTTATCAGGCATCGACGTAGCTACGCAGCAGACACAACAGATGACGGGGCCATTTGTAGCCGTTGTGATTGACCCGGAGCGCACGATCTCCGCTGGCCGTGTTGAAATCGGCGCATTCCGCACTTTCCCCTTGGACTTTACCCCGCCCAAGGAGGGCCATGAGGACGACGAGTATCAGACTATTCCGCTCGGCAAGGCGGAGGACTTTGGTGCACATGCCAACCAATATTACTCCCTCGAGACGACAAATTACAAGAGCACGCTCGACACTGAAATTCTTTCTCTTCTTTGGAACAAATACTGGGTTGCGACACTCAGCCAGAGCCCACTGTTCACATCTCGAGACTACGGCAGCAAGCAGATGATGGATCTTAGCCAGAAGATCCGCAAAGCAGCCCGGGCTATCGAAACTAGTGGACCGCGGGGCGGTTCGGCGACAACGAAAGACCAGCAGCTCGATAAGGTTGTACGCGGCGGACAGCGCATCGTATCGGAAGAGGTAAAGGGGCTCCTGGCCTCTGAAGTAAAGATGAAGCTCTTCCAGGACATCGGAGATCAGTCTACTCCATCATCTTAGAGTTCATCCGCTAGAGATATTCGGCAAAGGGACCTTCATTGCATAGATATTGCTACGACCGTCACGGCTAATTTACTTTCCATTTATTGAACCAGAGTCCGGGCGTGTGACGCTTGGCAGAATAAGCTTCTTATAATCTTGGCATGATTGGTGAATAAAGCCTGAGAGATAACTAGTTGGTTATATGTAGATTTGTCATAGCTCCATTGCCCTTGGTTATCTTGATAAGGAAAAATGATGTATCACGACCTTAGCCTCTACTAAGTGGATTGCTTTCTCTCCAACTCTTGCACGGGGTATTTATCTTACTAAGATCACCCATGAATGGATTACAGTTCTGCAAAATTCCCCAGCAAGAGATAACTCTGAAAATAGCGAATGAATTTCTATTCAAAAGAACAGATAAGACAGGGTATAGACCGGATGGTTATTGAAACAATAGGTACAGGGAAAGGCAAGAAAGCAAGACGAAATCAAGCATCCTGCTGCGATGATACAGTCGAAGAAAAAAGCGTATCCAACACGAACGCAGCCCCAGGTCATAACATATCATTATAGGAAATGGCATGGAGACATTAACCCCGAAGGAGAACCGCCTCGCTCCGGCGGGAACAGTAAGGGATATGTAGAAACCAAGTAATCACAAAGGAGAAATGAAGAGGGAAGAGGCGGTGTCCACACAGCGGCCAAAAATTTACACCGAGACCGGTGCGACGTTTGAAACACATGTCAGTAGGAGTCTTGTAATGCACCGGACCGGAAGTGAGGAGTCGGATCCGTGCTGGTAAAGGAGAGGGAAGTTGCCAGTCAGGTCCCTGAAATTCTATATCAGAAAGAATAATAGGTATATCGAATGCAAGAAGCGAGGGTATCGGGGTTTGCAGCATGGGTCATGCATGCAAGAGGAAACTGCCGTGACAAGTCGGATGAAGCAGTTGGAATGATTCGTTGGAGAGCACCTTCGTTACCCCACTGGGTCGTGGGGCTCCCATGCGAAAGGAAGAGAAGTGAGGAGGAGGTGCATGATCCCGAAGCTTCAGCGACACGAAACAGGCCCGGCGAGAGTGCCGGTGATCGATGGCGGCAAATAATGAGGCGCTCGTGCGCAAACTAGGATGTCTTGGGCACGGTCGCAACGGCCGACGTTCCCCATTTTGGGGCCACCGCACGAATCCTGCTAGTCGCAGGATGGTGAGACCAACTTGTTGGTACTGCCGACCACTATACAGCCACTGAATTTCATTGGCGCGATTCGAGCGCAAATCGCTGTAGCGCTAGAACGCCCACGATCCTCGGGTGGTGACGGCCCCCCGCAGGTGCAGCTTTGACAGGGATGTCTCCGCCACACGCTTACAGGAAACCAGACTCAGAGAGCAATCTACGGTGTGAAAATCAAAACAGGTTAGTGACAACTTCCACAAATTTTCGAAAGCGTGGTTTTTTCTGTGTCCAAACCCGAAAAACAAATGTTCAAATATGAGGTCAAATTTGGGTATCGCCGAAAGAACCAGACACCAAGCCCGAAAATAAAAGAAAAAAATTAAAAGAAAAAGCAAAACAAGGCTAGAAGAGGATCATCGCAAAATCGCGACGGTGCTTGCAAAAAGCAGAGAGTTCTTGTCTCTGCTCGCTTGTTCGGCATACCTTGCAATCTTTTCGTCTTCTCGTTCTCTAGGCTCGATCTCAAGACTTCGGTCGTACATGTCGTGAACATCACCCGAAGCCTGCAGGTTGCTGAGGATGTAATCCTGGAGCTCCGGGACTGGTTGGAGGAGATACGGGACGTTCTGGTACTGCTGGATATCTCGAATAACCTCTGCGGTCTTGGCACGCTTGTTGAAGTTAATCAATTCCGATGGAGTAAGCGAGGGAATACCGTCCTCGATGAAGGTCAAATCCGTAAGGTAAACACCTACAACGCGTTAGCCTTGGAACTATCGGTAAGGGTACAGGAGAGGGGAGCCAATCAAACGGTTCGAGGCCATTTGTGGTCACAAAATCATACCAAAGAATGGAATGCAAGGAGGATTAGCCAGATGCAAAGTCTCGCGGTATTCACCAAAGTTCTTCGTACTCGCCATGAGCCGGCGCATCTGCTCCAAAATAGCAGATGTACGGCCACTGACCTGACCCCATGTCCGACCTAGGCGGTGGATTGGGGCGGTGCCAAGGGCCGAAATGATGGAGGTGAGGGTAGAGTAGTTGTTGAGAGCACGACATTTCTATATTTCCTGTATTAGCACGGTTCAGACAGAGGAAAGGCACACCACGTACATCAGCGACGTTGACAAAGTGCTTGATCACTACCACACGCTTCTTAACATCACCCTGCGTCAAGATCATTTCCGCAACCCAGTTGGTCAGCTGGTTGGAGTGCAAAATCAGAGCCTTGACATTAGAAGCTGGCTCTGGCTCATCGGGGCCAACCTTCTTCTGCCAGGTCTTGTTCAGACACTCGGTAGGCCGAATCTTGGAGTAGAGGCGAGACTCAATGATGGTCAGCTGCCGAGCAAACTCCGTGGGGTCGATATCGAGGAACTTCAACTTCTTCATGTTCTTCGGGATGATGGGCGGGGGCGCAGCAGTGTTCTGGGTAGGTACCAGGCGCTTGACGGAGATATCCTGGCCTCGGAGTCGCTGTTCAATAACGGCAAGAAGGGTAGGAGCTCCTGGCGTCTTCGTAGTGGCAATGGAATCTTTGGTAAATGCGTGTACACGTCGCAAGAGATCCATGTTCACTTCGTCGTTAGGCTCCATCCAAAAATGGTCGAACCAACTCTTGAGGATGTTGACGACGCGGAAGCGAATTGGCTTCTGCTTCCGATCGGTCCACATTTGCAGGTCGTCCGCGTTCAGACCAAATGGAGGGAGGATATTAAAGCGTTGAACCAGCATCTCGAAAAGTTCAGAGGCAGTGGTGAATGAACGATAGGTGAGGAGGAAAGTATTGTTAAAGGATGCATCAAGCTTGTCGTGGCGCGTAAGATGCTCAACCAAGCCAGCCAGTGTTCCGCACTTGAGAATTGGCACGTCTGCCTTGGTATCGTAGAACACCTCTCCCTCATGATCCATCTTCAGGAACCAAGGAGTCTCCTCGGGTTCGCGAACGGGCTCTCGGACAGGCGGTTCTCGAGTCACGGTGGTAGGAGGTGCCTGACCGAAGAAACGCTGGGCTTTGTCCATGTTGCGGCGCACTTTGTCGGTGCCAAGCGCGTAGGAGGAAGGAATGCCAATAGACTCATTCGCAATCTTGGCTTGGGATTCGCTGCGAGCATGTGCGCCCTCGTTGAGCGACTCATTCTCTCCATCCAAACGACTTTCGCTGCGCAGCGAGGCTGATTGATCCTCAGGAATCTGCTCGAGAAGCAGGGACAGCGAGAAGCCGATCTGCGAAACGAAATTCTCCAGCTGCTTAGCCACGCTTCGAACAGCAGTGATCCGATCATCAAGGGAATCGCCACGCAGCTCCGCCCATTCATCGGCCAGAGGGGCAGAGACCGCCTGGCAGCTGAGGACGAAATCACCAATGCCATCATAAACACGCTGCTTTTGCAGACTAAAATCAACCAGTTGAGGGTTCTGGAAGCTGGTTCCCAGCGGGACGAGATTTATGGACTCAATAGTCGAAATCCACGGACGGAATTGTTCAACGACCTTGATCGCGGCAGCCGAAATTGCGTCCGCGATTTCACCATGTTCAGCGACAGTAACAATTTTTCGATCAAGAGACAAACGTTCTTCCAACCGACGGATGCTCCCGACGAATGACCTCCTCTGAACATCAATGTGGTCCAAAAGAGCCGAGTCGAGAGGAACTGAAGGCTCGGTACGCGAATCACCACCCTCGGGGACAAGGAACGATGTCGGGCCAGACGCATTGAGCGAAACACCGTTGTTCTGCCAGCTACCACCACAGGAGCTGCCACTGACAAACCCAGGGACGATACGGTTAACGTTGTCCCCACGTTGCTGTCGAGCGACGTCCACATAGCCGTACACTCCTTGCATGACGCCATCTGCCTCCTGCAGACATTTATTGACAGAGTCGGAACCCGGCCAATCAGCAGCCGCGATATGTGACGAAAGGACCAATTTAGAGAACTTAGACATCATATCCCTAAAGTAAGGGTACAGAGCCTTGTTCGTGGAAATGATGGACGGATTTCCCGAATGGTTGTCCGTCGTGTCAGATCCAGCCGCCAGAAGCATGCGCAGGTGGTCGGAAATGTCCTCGGCCCTTCGCACGTATTCAGATCGGTCGCGAGAGAAGAGGGCCTGGCGGTAAGCCTCCACGGCATAGCGCATGTTATCAACGAGCAAGGGCCATGTTACCGGAGCTGTCAAGCCGTCATCCACAAAGTGTTGAGGGGTACCGGATGAGATGGAGATGGACGGTCGGGAGAAGCTTTCGGCAATAGAAGTGTTTGCACTCGTCGGTGCCCCACTGTTGTAAGATGCCTGGCTCTTCATCGATGGTTGTTGTTTGAGGTCTTTTGTGGCAGGTGGGTAGAGGGAATCCATCGAGGTCGCAGGCGACACGCCGTCCATGAAAGACTGGCGACGGCGGGACATCGAGTCTTGGGAAGCCAACATTAAGGACTCCCCTTCAGCCTCCGATGCCGAACCATCGTAATCGTCCTCATCCCGCTCAAACCCGCGAGCCATCAGCTCAGGAGGCGGCCGAGTCTGATCGGGGACGAAGAAATTCGTCCGGTCCCGAGGCCCAATCTCATTTGTCGCTGGATTCTCAAATGGCAGTTCCATAGTGGAGTATCCAGTGAGTGTATTGAAATAGAACAGGCGGCCATCGGGAGTCGCCTGGGGGATCCAAAACGCCGCCTCTTCCTGCTCCTTGGGTGCGGGAATACCCTCGATAGGTAACATGGGCTGCGAGTCGCGCGGGTTGACTTCAGAGTCCAGCTCTTCGTCCTCCTCATGTCCATTGCCGTAATCATCCTCGGGCCCGGATTCTGCGCTCAGTTCCGTATCATCGTGGAGGTGCGTCATGTGCTCACCAAAATCGTCGGCCTCGGTGATGATCGTGCAGTAGTTACTGGGAAACCAACCGCGAGTGTTATCAATGACTCCATCCCACCACCCGGTTTCCAGCTGGTTGAGGACCTGGATGATATCTCCGCGGCGAAAGCTCAGGCTCGTATGGTCGTCTGCATCGTAATCGTACATGGCCCGCACGAACAGCGCGGGCGGTTCGGGGCTGACTGCATAACCCGTAGCCATTTTTTGTTTGATAGGGGAGGCACTCAGCCGATCCGAACGGTAGGAGATGCTGGATCCCCGGCCGCGATGGCGAGAGGCGGCGGTGGGGGTGGTGGCCTGTTCGTCGGTGAACTCGAAAGCGGTCGCAAACGCACCGGCCTTGGAGGCTAGTACAGGTCCCGTCTCGACAGCCAAATCTGCCGCGCGGAACTCAAACATTAAGGAGCGTCACTCGCGGCTGCAGCGAGAGAGACACCCAGAAGAGAGGAAGTGACCGAGAAGGAGAGGTGGTGATGATGGTGAAGAGGGGAGGGGGCAGGACCTTCTGGGCTCTCTCAGTGACCCCCGTGGCTCATGGCTTTTTGGGAATTTGGCGGTTGAGGAGAGAGGGGTGGGTGGGTAATTTTGTAGCCCACTTGTCCCGGGGGGTTGGTTAGGACCAGACGATAGAGTGAAATAACCAAACCACAGCCACCAGTGATCAGAGAGATGCCACGGAATCGGACATGGTCATATAGAAAAAGAGGGAAGAATGTAATCTCTGTTTCTCTCCTTCTCTCTCTCCTTGGGGGGGAAAAGGGCAGAGGATGAGAGAGAGACAGGGTGGAGGCGGGACGGATAAGGCGTCTCCTCCGTGGACGAGTCCGTTCTGGCCGCGTATGGTCGTGACGGACAATACACACTGGGATAAGGTCCCTTCGGGTCTGCTGCGGGTAAATGTTACGGTTCTTTACGATATAGATTACCGTCCACAAGCGATCAGCGATAGATTACTGCTGATATTACTACCGCGGTACCGCTGTACAGAACAGTCCATGGGGTATGTAATTCAAGTATGTGCTTCGTATGGCAATCAAATACACCCTAGAACTATGTTTTGATCTTATTGTTTGATCCCTCCGAGTGTCTTCAGTGACGCGTATTGTCCTCGATTGTAGAGACTGAAATGCCTATCAGATCATGGTAGAGAACAAGAGTGAAGGATGCCTAACTGCCGGAAGCTGGTTTCCTCCACCTACCACATATTCGATAAACAGGCCCAGTCGTTAATCGTCCAACGGGTACCACCATTGGGACCGAGCAACGGCCATGCCATGTGTTACATACTATGTATATCCATACTGACAGTTGTACGGCGCATTACTGACAATTTAGTTTCACCTATTCCAGTAGTTAAATCAATTCCCCTCGTGTGAGAATGTCCTCGAGTTCACTGTTTTAACTGGACCTTGGTCAATCTTGAGCCTCCCAAGCTCCATAGCGGAGCTCTCCATCCAACAGCCTCTAGATCTACCATGGGCCATGGCACGTTCGCGCTTGGATTTTTGAGCAGCCATACAGGGGGGATACTTTGGTCAACTACCGGCTCGACCTCGTGTATGGATTGGCGTATGGCACGTTCAATCTGACATCCTTCGTGTGACGACCGCTCTCCCTCTGTTACTATCACATCCCCGCGCGCTTCGGAGGGGCAAGGGGGGATAAAGATGTCAGACTGGAACATCCGATGACTGTCTTTTCAATACAAACCCCATTCAAACAACTCCCAAAAAAAGAGACTACTGTAATACCTGCCAACAAGGACGGAATAAATTAAAAGTTAGTATAGTCCATGATTAAAATACTATTATCAGTTCCAAGACAAGATCCAGACCCAAAAGTTGTTACGTCGGGTTTCGTTTCGTGAAAAGTGCGCGCGCCCCCAGTGGATCGACCGCGGCTCGCGCTGATTTGACACCCGAGTGGACACGGCGAGCGTGAACTTTCAATATCGCTGTCCACCCGCGCGATCCAATCAGATATCTCATGTTAGCCTTGCTCTGGGGCGTCTCTCGTGTTGCGTTGCTCTTCTCCATCATCAAAGAACTCTGCTGGGTTTGGAACGAGGCAAGGGAGCCCCCAATGAATTGATGCCACCGAAAGCTAAAAAGACCACAACCCAAGAAAAAGCCGCGAGTGGTCGGTCCGAGGAAGTGGATTCAGGGGAGTGCCGGCAGAGAACAACTCCGCGCAGTTGAACACCACAGTAATGACGGGGGACCATGCATATTGCTACATGGCGCGCTGCAGTGGCGCGAGCCCTTTCCCCTCCTCTTGTCCCCTCTGTCTTTTAACGGAAGAATATGCAACCGAACTGGATTTCGCAACTTGTGGTACGGATGTAGTTATTCGCCTGGTATCTGCGAGCATCTGGGAGCATCTCGGGTAATATTCTCACCACCACGTTTTTGGTCCACGAAGCTCTGAGACAAGTAGATTGAGTTTTTGGATTTCCAAACCTGCACGAGCCACCATTCCAGAGAGGGGGGGGACCATCAACCCAGCTCCAGAACGATTCTAGAAGGTCAAACCAGTGATTCAATTCCCATGTGGCTTACATAGCGTCCGCTCGACCCCGAGGCTCGGGGTCGAGTCATACAAATTGGGATCGTGCTTACGTCCCCTCTTTCCCCCCTTTAACGGTGGCTGTCATGCAGAGTCTATCGTCCTGTTGTCAGCCTGGAGTAAAATTAATTTGATTTTTTTTCTTTGCTATCCCGAGCAGGATCTAGAAAGAAGCATTTTGGTGGTCTGGAGAGGCTCGGAGAACAACGGCTATCTTGCGTGTCGGACCATATGCCGTATGCAGGAGACGAGGGTCTCATCGAGTCTGCGATAGGGACGGTAGCGCGACGCAACAGCGAGGCCATGAGTTCGGGTTGATTCCTATGACGCAGCGAACAGCAGTTGTCTCTCTAACCGTGGTTTCGAAAAGCTGCGTCTCCAGGTAGCGGAAGCACATCCATTGAAATTGAAACGTATCAAACGCTTGAAAAATGACGCACTTTCCCACATTGTGGGATCTGTATGTATGTAACGCAATGGATTACCACTACCAGGTCCTGTCACGGCAAGGAAACTCCAGGGGTGCCTGAATCCTGTTTGATGTAAACGTGGAGTCAACATGTTACCTTGGGGCCAGACAAGCTCGACACGTTCAGACAAGCCTGAGTTTCTGGATTGAGTTTACTCGGGAGTAATGGATAGATATGATTCGATCTCTTTCATCAACGGTGCGTCTTATAACCCAAATTTTGACATACTTTGACTAGTCTCCAACACATAAATCCCTCGCCTCGGGAACCTTCCCCTATACTCTCAAGTTTGCCCAGGATGGCCATGGACTTTCCAATTCGCTAGCTAGGGTTAAGAGGCATTCGTGTTGATTTAACAAAGGAGGACAGCAACCCACTTCTTCACTTGCCCTTTACATGCAGAATCGTTGGCTACCAGCACCGACCGTCCGTACCATGAACCCGACTATGTGGAAGCAGCTCCACCCATTTAGCGGGCCGTTTGCCCTCGTGGGAAATAATTGACCACCCATGCAGTATAAAGGGTGGGCAATACACAACTACCGAGTCCACGGGAAAATAAAAAATAACAGTAAGGATGAGTATTTTCGAGTCTCAGCAGGCGGAACTAGTATCAGAAACATGGCTATGGTTCCGGCACGGACGGCGATGGTGCCTGTAGATCCGAGTTGATCGCCTCGCTCCGGGCTGCGGGGTGAGTGGTTGGAACCGACATCCGGGCATGTGAACGCACGAGAATCGATAGCTTTCAAGGTTGGTGAACTCAAACCCCGCGAATTACGATATTTGCCTTGCCCGGTGGTTCTCGTGAAACCATGGTTCAATTGGGGGTGTTCGTTCTAGACCCGGATGAGTTTGCTTTTGTGGTGGTGTGGATGCCCGAAAATGAGGCTCGGTTCCTGTATAGTTGGACCGTTAGTACGCCAGATACGTTCGTTAGTGTAGCAATACCGGGCGAACATGGTTCAAGATCCCTTTTATTCGTCGTCTGAACCTGGATTGTATGGTTTGGTCGATTTCAGTAATTCTTACGCCGTTACTGATGCGCGTTCTGGTATGGTAGTACTTCTTCCTCGGCACGGTGATCGACTTGGAACGGAACCACGGACAGCCTAGGCAATTGAATGTTGAAGGCCTTTGTCGTGCTTGGATTCCTCGGGCAATAGTTAAGAATCACATGGACTATTTCTTTCCAGGAAATATGGATTAGGTATGAACTACCTCGATCCATGGAACCACAATAAGTGATGGACGTTGTGGGGTTGAAGCCGCGATATATATCCCCATAAGTACTATATCCAACGTGACAGTAATCTGATTATTGACGTCGTCATTAGATATTTAGAAATCAGATCCTCCGTTAAAAGTGAGATGCGAAGTGATCTACGAGCGATTGAGATTGATAAAGCGGACCAAGGCTGTACGCCCAGGCTCCAACACCAATAGAAATGAACATTGTCATGTCTGCCCAAAATCATAAGGAATACGAAGGACATTAGAGAGCTACTACTACGGAAAAGAGATACTCAATCTACGAGGAACCGGCGAGAGACGAATGAGCTCGAATCAAGAACCAGACTGCAGTGATAACTACCATCCACACGCATGATCCCTCAAGTCATCCGTTCCTCACTCCTACGGCAAGAGACTCTATATTTGCTGTCTCTGCAGATAGGCGGGACTGCGGATTCCGTATAGAGGACGGAGGACGGAGGACGGAGGACGGAGGACGGAGTACAAATACTTGAATTAGATACTCCGTGGTTCACAACCTTTCCGACAGGGTCAATCATCGACCATCGAGGTCGGAATTTGCCACCGCACGGGCTGATCCTACGGGTGTGCCTCGCCCGTTCCTTGCATGGGCGACGCAGGAACCAACCGGATGGAAAGTCCCAGCGGAGACGAATCCCGCCGGGCCCCATGTACCAATGAACCAATCCAGCGGTGCCTTGTGGGCTTCGTATCCAGCACCTCGGGTCCTCATCCTGATCACCACCTAGCCCCCCTTTTTTTTACGAGTTGGACTCTGTTTTTTTTTTTCTTGTTTTCAAGGTGGGATGAATAATGAAAGAGGGACAAGCCTCAAAACCTGTTATGCTTCATGCAATGTTCGTACTTCGTACTCCGCATGTACGTCGTGTCTGAAGTCAATGAACGTGGTAAAGTCTAGCCCGCAAAGAGTTCGATACGAATGGAGTCATCTGCACCCACCCATGATCCCTTCTCTACCTTCTCTTCCTTCTAAAGGCCCCCACCATCGAGCCCCCACCAGCTATTCATCACGGCAATCCATTTGACTACGCGTGCTTAGCCTCGTTGCGCTCGACGACGGGCGTCAGACGTTAAACCTTACGGAGGACGAAAGATTTCCGGGTCCTCCGTTAACGAAGACCGCCCCCCTCCTCCGTGTCTCAATATCTGTTCTCGAAACAGACTAATAAACAACTAACCTATGATCTCACCAACCAGATATCGAATACGCTATGGAGAACTCAGACAGCTATCGATGGAATAATGAACTACTGCGTATGTAGGGTGTACTCCGTACTTAATGGGGTGTTCCACCTTTTCGAGAAAATTCGACGGAACGACATCCCCGGCGCGGGGCGTCGTAACAGCTGGGAACGGAATACATAATGAGAATTGAAGAGATGTGCATCCTGCGTGCAGCGCACGGCA